CTCAGGGCTTTTGGGGCCCCGAAACCCCAAACCCTAAACCCTAAATCCTAAACTGAGTCTTAGGTTCACGGTTTTTGGGGCCCCAAAACCCCGAACCCTAAATCCTAAACCCTAAACCCTGAACCCGGGTTCCTCTGCAAACAGGCAGCGCCGAGGCCTTGAAGACCTCCTGATACGAGCTGGTGCCATCCTGGATGGCGACACAGGTGTTGGATTTGGGGTTTCAGGGGTTTCCTACTTGTAAAATATTGAACTCTAGGGCCCTAGATCCTAAACCCTGAACCCTAAACCCTTTTCTGGGGGGTTTTAGATCTCAAGGGTTCAGGGTGGCGTTTAGGACCCGTTCAGGGTCGTAGGACACTGAGGGCTTTGGGGCGGCCAGAAGAAGTGGTTTAGGACTTAGGGATGCGGGAATTGTTAACAAAAAATCGTTGTAGCTGGTTTGATGGGCAGAAACCGCCAGTGGAAAACGTGGATGTGGAACCTATTTGGACGATCAACCTATTTCTTCAACTACGCAAGAACCTTCCCTAAACCCTACACCCTAAACACCCGAAACCCTGAGCTCTGCAGGCCAAGGGGTGCTTGCTTGTCGTGGACATGGTGGAGGAATTTGCCAGTGCAACGCGTCGGGATTTGCGGAGCTTTCAGTCACGAGCCCTAACCTTGAAATGTGCCCCCTCATACTAGCAGCTCCTTCATCGGGATTCTAGTACCTCCGAGTATAATCCCTATTCAGGACTGTCAGCATGAGAGGGAACATCCCAACCTAAACCCCTTTACGGTTTAGGGTTTAGGGTTTAGGGTTTAGGGTTTAGGGTAAGAACCCCCCAAAAACTGGGCCCAAAAAACTCCGAAAGCCCCCTAAAACCCTAGAGCCCTGGAGCCTGGGAGTTGAAGCTTACTCATGAAGAAGGGTTTAGGGTTTTAGAGTTAGGGTTTAGGGTTTAGGGTTTAGGGTTTAGGGTTTAGGGTTTAGGGTTGAGGGTTGAGGGTTGAGGGTTTAGGGTTTAGGGTTTAGGGTTGAGGGTTTAGGGTTTAGGGTTTAGGGTTTAGGGTTTGGGTTTTGGGTCTGGGGTTTAGGGTTGATCGTTTAGGGCTCAGGGTTTAGGGTTTAGCTTAGCTCATGAAGAAGGGCTCCTGAACCTTCCACCCTTAATGTTGCACCCGGTTTAGTATCGGCCCCCTCTTTAAAGACAAACTGGCCGAATTATTCAGGACATGCTGACTGTTTAGGACTCCCTCTATAAAGACAAATCGTCCGGGCGCCGTAAGAAAATTCCACGTGGCGCGCCTTTAAAAAAGATAACCGGGCATCGCTGCCCCTTTTGAACCTATCTAAACTCCTCCCTATTAAAATCATATAAGCCCCCGGGGCCGTGTAATCAGGATCCCATCCACGCCTCGACTGTTCAGGGGGGGGGGGGGGGGGGGGGCCCCACACTAAACCGGGTGCAACATTAACCCCTACACCTTGCCACGTTCCCTCGTATACTAACAGTCCTTAATGGGGAGTACAATAGGAGGTACGATAACTCCCATTAAGGACCTGTTAGTGTTAGTATAAGGGGGAACATCCCAACCTACACCCCAAAAATCCCTGAGCCAAAGTTGCCAATAACATCCTTCCCATCCTTCTCCCTATACTCCCCTTAGAACCTGACAAAAAATAGTGTTTTTTAAATACCCTCTTGGGTTTTATATAAACAAAAATATAAAAAAAAAAAAAAAAAAAAAAAAAAAAAAAAAAAAAAACTCCCAAGGGGGATATAGCTCCTTCGTGAAGAAGCATGATAAATCGCCCAAATCTCCACTTCTCAACCTGTGATACACCATTCTAACGCACCCTAAACTCCTGAACTGGCAGGCTGCCTGCCGAAGAGACGGCGAAGCCGAAACCACCGCCTGAAACGTGCAAGAAGGCACTCGGGTTAGGGTTTAGGGTTAGGGGTTCGGCGGGCATTTTGGAGTTTCAGCTTCGGGGATTACGGGTTCGGTCTGTGCAACGCATGGGGCTTGGGGGTTTTGTTGGGCAATGTGCACCGCTTGTGGCGCGTAGGGGCCCATAACCAACCCGGTTCCCAAGCAACCTAGCAACAAGAGTACCCGTTTCACTTTATCAGGTCTACGTTGGGGTTTAGGGTTTAGGGTTCGGTTTAGGGTTTAGGGTTTAGGGTTTAGGGTTTAGGGTTTAGGGTTTAGGGTTTAGGGTTTAGGGTTTAGGGTTTAGGTGTTTAGGGGTTTAGGGGTTTAGGGTTTAGGGTTTAGGGTTTAGGGTTTAGGGTTTAGGGTTTAGGGTTTAGGGTTTAGGGTTTAGGGTTTAGGGTTTAGGGTTTAGGGTTTAGCACCCTAAACCCCCAAACCCTAACACCCCAAGCCCAAAGAATTGGGAATCAGGGCTCTGCTGGGCATCCCCATCCCCCAAAACCCAAAACCCAAAACCCTAAACCCTAAACCCTAAACCCTAAAGCCCCAGATCACTGGAGCCGATGCAGCCGAACGGCCTACAAGATCCATGTCAGTACGGGCTGCATCCTATGGGGCTTCCGGGGTTTAGGGTTTTAGGGTTTTAGGGTTTTAGGGTTTCTTTCAGGGTTATTTAGAGTTATATATAAGGGCTTGGGGGGTAAAGCTCTCTGAATGGGGGGTCCACTTGAGGGCTTCGATTATGCGGAAGCCTGATGATTTGGGTGAGAGGAAACACTCCCCGAAGACCAAGACACCTAATTTTGACTTCTTTTTTGTAGACGACCACCTCAATTAAATCGTCCCCTCCCTTGGTCCAGTGACTCTTTTCATAGAGAAAGGTAGAAGACACCTAAATGCGTGGCATTCAGGGTTAGGGCTTGAGGGCTTACCCTAAACCCTAAACCTTAAACCCTAAACCCTAAACCCTAAACCAGGGCAAGGGGAAGGAAAGTCCCGAACATGCCGACCGGGTCTTGCCTGCGCAGCTGTCGCCAAAATCCTGCGTTTCAATCAGACCAGAGAGTCCCCAAATCCTCAGGTAGGAACCCCTAAACCCTAAACCCTAAACCCTAAACCCTAAACCCTAAACCCTAAACCCTAAACCCTAAGCCTCCTGGATCATGAACAGGCAAACCCCTTATGCCAAAAGCTCTGAACCCCTAGTGCCTAATCCCCCCGCCCCACCACAGCAATCTCTGGACCCTTCAGGACGTGATGTGAAGCTACAAGACTTACAGGGGGTTTGGGGTTCAGGGTTTAGAGTTTAGGGTTTAGGGTTCAGGGTTTAGGGCTTAGGGCTTGGGGCCGAACCATCCCAAGCACAATTGTTGCCAACTGGCAGCCAAGTTCCCAGACTCACGCACAACCTCAACCCTAAACCCCAAACCCTAAACCCTGAACCCTGAACCCTCAATCCAGCAAGCTTATGCTGGGAGATTGCGGGGCTGAGGGTGTCTGCAGGACTCGGGCTGAACGGGCAGGTCACTTCTTGGGATGTTCCCCTTAAGGGTTTAGGGTTTAGGGTTTAGTACTAGAAGCCTTATCAAGGACTGTTAGTACAAGGGGGAGCATCCCAAGCCACTTCTCTAACATGTGGTCCCTTTTTTGGGGTTTGGGGATTAGGGTTTAGGGTTTAGGGTTTAGGGGGCCTTTGTTGGGGTCCTTATGCTCAGGCCCCTCTTTTCGCGGGAAGCCAAAAAAGCGACCCATCATTTAGAGACCTGACCATATGGGGTTTAGCAGTCTTCAGTAGCTTAGGAACGAACGATGCAAGCTTGCTGGAAATGCGGTTGAAAATAGAGGCAATCTGCTTGCTCAAACAAGAACGGAAAACAGACCCCAACGAGCCTTCGCGGACCCTAAACCCCAAACTTTAAACTGTAAACCCTAAACCCTAAACCCTAAACCCTAACTTAAACCTACTTTGCCGAGGCCGTGGCTTCGTGGAACCCGGGCCGCTGCTGCGCGCGGAGGCTGGCCCTGGCGCGGTCGGGGGGTTCAGGGGGTTCAGGGGGTTCAGGGGGTTCAGGGGGTTCAGGGGGTTCAGGGGGTTCAGGGGGTTCAGGGAAGTTCAGGAAGTTCAGGGAGTTCAAGAAGTTTAGGAAGTTCAGAGGCTTCAGGCCAGGAGGGTTGAGTGAATCCCAAAAGCCTAAGTTCTGGCAACTTCAGCACCGTTCAGGGTTTAGGGTTTAGGGTTAGGGTTTTGGGTTTAGGGTTGTTCCTTCACCACAACCCAGATGGGCCACGCACTCCAAGTCCTGCACCAGGAGCAAGCGTCGGTTCGTAGGTCCAGCGAACGAGGACCCACAAACAAAAATCGACCCCAAGCCCTAAATTCAAATCCTCCGAAACTCCGGAACCCCTAAACCAGAACCCCTTAAACCATGAAGGCCCTGAATCCTAAAGGCCCTATGCCCTAAAGGCCGAATTAAGACCTCACACCCTAAACCCAAGTCTTCAAGGCCCTATACCCAACCTCTAACCCAAGACAACCGTAAACCGTAAACACACCCTAGAACCGAAAAACCCTAAACCCTAAACACTGAACCCTCAACCCCAAGGCCCTAAATTCGAAGCCCAAAGACCCCAAGCCCTCAAACCTATACCTCAACCACGAAACCGCAATTCGCAAACCCTGAACCCTCCACAAACTGAAGTTATGACAAGACAAAAACGTACTACTTACTGTATACATATGGTCACTTCTCAAAATTATGGTAAGTTTTGGTGACATGCAGGACTTCCGAAAGAACTGCAAACCCATGCCGTTACCCCTAAACACTAAACCCTTCAGCGGTTCTGGGTTCTGGGGATTTGCGTTTCGGGGAGAATTGGGGGGTCTTCTCTCGTGTCAGGCGCTTCGGTGTGGGGTATAGGGCAGGGCCAAAAGGTTACAAACATCCCTGACTCTCTGAAGTAATGCAGAAGGCTGCAACCTGCCTAGGCAAAAGAAGGTCCTTCTCCCCCATTTCGTTTTGGGCTTTCCCCGCTGTACAATCCAGAAGTGGCGGCATTCTTCGCAGCATTTGGCCTCAAGATGCCGAACACTTCGACCCCAGAGTCGCTGTAGAGTTGGGTTTTCGGGGTGTGGGCACTGTGGGCACCTCTGAGCAGATGTCCACGGTCACGGTCGCGTCCTGGACATCTTCCGGAGGGCTTTGGGAGGCCTCAAGACGGCTTCGCCGTCCAGGGCAGGGATGACGATGCTTCTGGCCGAGGAAAAACCGCACCACCGGAACTCCCAGGGTGGGAATTCGTGCAACGCGGGACGGCCCGGCAATCGACAGGGACAGGCACAAAGGGCTCACGATGAGGGCGCCTGGAATCAGATACCAGTCGACATGAGCAGCGCCTTCGATCAGAAAGACTACCAGGATACATTCACCGAGCAGTTCCCAGAAATTCAGGGTGACGGAGGCAAAGGTCTTCCGTTCATCGCTCAGGCGTGGGAAGAATGCTAGCCAGAGGCATCCCTGAACCAGCATCGCGGCAGCAGGAACTTGCTGCAGCGGGGTCGTGCCGGGAGTTGTCAAAGTCTGGATGGGGAGTGCCACCCAGAGCCTATACTGAACTTAGAACCCTAGCAAAAATTATAACTTTAGCTAATTCTTAGGAATAAAGTACCCAAAATTAAATTTAAAAAAACACTTCCAAGAATATCCCGAAGGAGCATGACGCCCACAGCAACCCAAGAGCTTTTGAATAGGGAGACATCCCCCAGCGCGCCAGTCAAAGCGGTGGTGCGTTGCAGCTCCGGCGTCATGAGGTTCATTTGCAAGAGGAACTTTACCTTAGGGTTCTTAGGGTTTAGGGTTGAGGGTTACCTGGGTAGTTTCCTAAATTAGGGCCCCTTTTATACGGCGGCACCCTTTAAGAAAGTATCCCAAAAAGGGACCATAATTTTGACAACCACCCACCTTGCTGTTGAAGTAACCTTAAAAACCAGCAAAGCATCCCTTTTCAAAGCCGTACGATGAAACCATATAAAACGGAATACAAGCCCTGCAAAAAAAAAGCTAGAACACCCTGCAACAAAATTCCACAAAAAACGATTAGAAGCTCGACCAAAAACCTCTCTAAACTTGGCCCAAAACCCTAGAAAACACTGACATCGACCCTTACAGTAGCCTCTTATCGTGCACTTGCAGGAAGCCTTCAAGGGAGCTGAGCTCACCCTAAGCCACCAAGTCTCGGGCTTAGGATTTCGCATGTCGCATTTTTGGGAGGACCTTCAGTGTTAAGTTTAGGGTTTAGGGTTTAGGGTTTAGGGTTTAGGGTTTAGGGTTTAGGGTTTAGGGTTTAGGGTTTAGGGTTTAGGGTTTAGGGTTTAGGGTTTAGGGTTTAGGGTTTAGGGTTTAGGGTTTAGGGTTTAGGGTGTAGTGTTTAGGGTTTAGGGTTTAGGGTTTAGGGTTTAGGGTTTAGGGTTTAGGGTTTAGGGTTTAGGGTTTAGGGTTTAGGGTTTAGGGTTTAGGGAAGCCCGTCAGCCCAGTTGCAGCCTCTTCGACCTCCTTCGCCTTGCCGCTCTGCGACAACTCTTCGAGGATGCTCTCCTAGGTTGGCCCATTCAAGCCTTTAGGGGTTTAGGGTTTAGGGTTTAGGGTTTAGGGTTAGTCAGATCCTCTTAGTCACTCTTAAGCCCAACATGGGAACACACCAAATATCCCAAAGTGCACCAAGTCTCTCTGTCGGACTCAGATGAGCACCTGATTTAGGCTGATTTAGGGTGCGGTGTTTTCAAAACCTTAGGGTTTAGGGTTCTATACATTGTAATGTATGTTTTTGTTTACATCGGTGTAAAAAGACATGCATTACAAGGAACGAGTTTTAGCGCATTCGGGTTTCTAGGGCTCAGCACTTTAGGGCTGCGGGTTCAGGTGCATCAGGTTTAGGAGTTTAGGGTTTAGGGTTTAGGGTTTAGGGTTTAGGGCTGAGTTTTAGCTCCCACATCAGCCGTGCCTGAAACTACCTCCTCGGACCCGATAGACCCTCATAGTATCCCCTTGTAAATGCAGAATCTCTTAAAGCAACCCTTAACGTAAGCCCTTATATAAGTTGCTTTATGAAGCTCGAACCCTGAAAGGAGCCCTAGACCCTAAACCTTAAACCCTAAACCTTAAAAGGAGCCCTAAGGCCCTCAACCCCAGGCCCTAAACCCTAAACCCTAAACCCCAAACCCTAAACCCTAAACCCCTAAACCCCTAAACCCCTACACCCCTAAACCCCTAAACCCCACCTCGCATCCAGCAGCCTGCCGGAGAAGTCTTTTCGCAGGAGCTTGCTGCGAAGCGACGCATCCGAGGCCATGATGCGGTCAAACTCCAGGCAGCAGGTGATGATCTCGGATTTGGTGGGGCTATATGAACATACTCGTACTACTGCTGCTAGTACTACTTCTACTGCTACTGCTGCGGCGGCTGCTGCTGCTACTCATACTTCTACTGCTACTGCTGCGGCCTCCTGCTGCTGCTCCTGCTCCTGCTCCTGCTCCTGCTGCTGCTGCTGCTGCTGCTGCTGCTGCTGCTGCTGCTGCTGCTGCTGCTGCTGCTGCTGCTGCTGCTACGACGACCACCACTACTAATCGCAATATCAATCGCAACAACAACCATAATACTAATAATAACAATAATAATAATATAAATAATAAGAAGATAACAACAATGTTAAATGGCCAAATAAGTGCATACAAAAAAACACGAAATTCTAATCATCAGGCCGAAGAAGGGTTTACGACTGGTTTATAATAGTAGGTGAGATCTTTATGAGGGTTCCTTAACTTGTTGTGAAGGCGGTGTATATTTTGGTCACTGGGCTGCCCGGAATCGGCTCAATTCTGAGGGCAGGTCTTTATTCTTCAGGGTTAGCAAGTGCTTTTTGCCCCAAAAGAAAGCAAAAGGCATAAGGACACGTCTTCGGGACCTAGTGACAAGCCCACACAGCCAGCTCAAGAGGCGCCCCAGATCTTGCCCGGAATAGAGCATTTCACGCTGCAGACCCACGGCCTCAATGTATCCGCCCAGCAGGCCCATGCTTAGGCAGATGCCGGTGAGTGCGTTGAACGTCAAGGTCAGCGTCCCAAAGATCCCTTTTTGCACAAATGCAGCGGCCAGGACATAGAAGATGCCTTGGGGTGAAGCGCTTTGGGTTTTGGGAACATACAAGATGCCTGCACTGCTAGCAATGGACATCCCATGAACATCTAGCCGCAGGGCACAATCACAACACAAAGCGCCGGTACTAATTAAACCAAACGAGTCTCCTGCAGCAACCGACAGAATCGTGTGAAGCTGTCCGATGATGGCCATGTCGACCCTGATTGGTAAGAAACACATCGCCCCGGCAGCTGCAACGTACCTGACGCTGGACTGCTGGACTTGCATTGTCTAAACCACGCAATGAAACTGAAAATGTAAACGTGGAAGCCTGTGTTGCAGCTGTGATGCAAGCCTCCAAGTCGGAGCATGCACCACCAAAGTCCGTCATGATGCCGCTTCGCAACCCTAATGGTCTTTCGCCAGGAACAGGCTAGGAAAGCCTCGTCAGGCTTGGACAGGTGGGAGGCGGCGAGTATTCATAATAGTCGTCATCATCATCATCATGCTACTAATGCTATATCGCCCGGCCCGGTCCTAAGAAAAGACTTAGTCCCTGCCGTACAAACCAGCTGGGGATGTAGTCCGGTTTTCGTTGAAGGCTTAGAGTTTACGGCTCGGCCTTTTTGGTGGGTTAGGGTTAGGGTTTAGCAGTAAACTTGATAGTTTACGGTTTAGAGCCATTGTGGTTTCGGGGGCCGATGGTTCACTACCTCAGGCTGAGGTTGAAGCAGCGGCAGGTCTGGATGTCAACATCTTGAAACACATGAACTAAACAACGGACACCCCCCAACCTTTCATGTTTTTTTTTTTTTCCCCCGTGCAGCTTTTCTTCCCATCAAAAGACTGAAAAAATGTAAGCATAAGCAAGCTCAAGACCAGCCGTTCAAACGAGTGCTCCAGCAAACGCCCTGAAGACTCCCGGGCGCTTTGAACTGGACCAGAAGAAACATCCTTGTGGTTCACCAATAGAAAAGCTTGTCAAGAGTTTTCGAACCAGCCTGCCTCCCCGAAAGATGCTTAGGCGAGCTGACGCTTATGTGCAGTAGACGTCTAACAATCCTAAACCCTAAACCCTAAACCCTAAACCCTCATGTCTTTGTCCCATCCTGCGCCTCGTAACAGCACCAGAGGCGCGTGTAAATGCTAAGGCTGTGGTTCGGCAGAACCAACCTAGGGTTTAGGGTCTAGGGTTTAGGGTTTAGGCAACCTGGGTTCTTGTTGAGGAACTTCATTTAAGTTACCATAATGGGGGTCTATAGTAAATGATAGGGTTTAGGGTTTAGGGTTTAGGGTTTAGGGTTTAGGGTTTAGGGTTTAGGGTTTAGGGTTTAGGGTTTAGGGTTTAGGGTTTAGGGTTTAGGGTTTAGGGTTTATGGTTTAGGCTTTAGGGTTTAGGGTTTAGGATTTAAGTTACCATAATGGGGGTCTATAGTAAATGATGGAAGCTCCTAAACAAGAGCCCAGCAACATGATAGGAGCTGCCTGCAAGGCGAGTGCAAAAGGTGATTCACGAGGACTTGCGATTAGGCCGGCAATGTCCAGGTTTTGCGGGTTGGACAAGAAGCAGACATATGCGGCACGTGCTCCTCGAGGCCAAGAGTGCTCTACTCTGTCGATGAACTCATAAATTCCCTCTGCCCAGCAGTGTGTCACGAAGACATCGCAGCTCACACCAGCGGGGTTTTTAAGAAGAGCCCAGCTCATGTTGCCAGCGCGAGCTGTCACGGGCTTAATGAACTGATCGGTGACTGTGTGCACATTGGGTCCTATGGACAAGTCGGAGGGGTCAAACATATCACGATCATGTGGTTGAATCTTTCCTGTCTCAACTGCATGCATCACGAGGCGGCGAAACTGGCAAAGGTCTTCAAGCGTCACACACCAGGCACTTTGCGGTACGGATCGGTGCCAATCGCTGCCAGCTCCACGTCGCCAAGGCCACAGCACTTCCGCGTCCCCAGGCCGCAGTAGTAGTCTGCGCTTTCGCTTTTGAAGGCGCCCACAGGCAAGCAGGACTTGCAGCATGCCCAGAGCTAGGAGGGCTGCACCGGAAATGAGATGCGCGGTGACAAGCAGGTCATCTGTGCCTCCGACTTCCTCTTCTTGATATCGCGGCTCTGCCTCCTCGGCCGCCGGAGCATGAGCTTCGAAGTCTTTTGGGACTTGCACTTCGTAGTAGCAATCCTTGTCGGAACACTCGCTTGAGTACCAGTATCGACCAGAGGCCGTAGCGCCCTCCGATCGGAACTCTCGATTCGCAAGCCTTATGCCACCGTCAGTATCACAAAGTCCGGACACCTGAATGCTGTCGTTCTCGAAGCCCACGATCCTTGCCGAGAAATTTCTACCGGCCCGAGAGGTGCAGCAAGGATCCCAGCCCGACCAGCTGTGGACACCAGCGATGGCCTCCTCCTCCGTCGCCCAAGCGGCCCAAACATGGCATCCTTCCTCGTCCTAGCTCTGGCTCTCTTAAGGAGCTGAGCTTAAGTTACCATGAAATACGGAAGCCCTAAACCCTAAACCCTAAACCTTAAACCCTACACCCTAAACCCTAAAAACCCAAAATAACCCTAAACCCCAAACCCTGAACCCTAAACCCTAAACCCTATAGACCCTAAACCCTAAGAGCCCAGTCCTCGATCAGGTTCCGGAGCCTTGTAGGATCGGGTCTCTCTGGGGAAAGGATCCACCTGGGAAGGGTGCCTTCCTCCTGGCCACAGGATCGGTCCCAGAAGATGTACCTAGTTCATGGTTGGGATAATATTAAAAAACTCATTGTTTTTCCTTATAGGGTTTAAGTACTCTCAAACATTTAAAATGGTACCCAACTATGACAAAGGTACAGGGATCCTCCGCACCGCTCCGTGCCGAAGGCCAGCGTGGGCAGCTGAAGCCCTAAGAGTGCCAGGCACACCATGGTCTAAACTGACCAGCAAAGCGACAGAAACAGCCGCCACAAGCCCTAAGCCCCAAAGGCTTAGCTCGATTCAATACTTCCTCACGTTCCCCAAGCCCTATAATCCCTCATGAAAACCGGATCTTCGACAAACTCCAGAGGCATGGCATGAAACTCCAAGAGTTGGGGCTCCAAAGCCCAAGACGCAGGAGTTCAAAGAAGCGTTTCAGTCTGCAAGCCCCAGTGGGGGCAAGAAGTGGAGTAACCTCAATGGACCTTTAGGGTTTAGGGTTCACGGGATAGGGTCTCAACGGGCACAAAGTGTTTAGGGTTTAGGGTGTAGGGTTTAGGGTTTAGGGTTCAGGGTTGACAGCAATCCTTGAATACAAGCTACAGGCTAAGCACAACTCATGAGCGCAACATTCCGACCGCCAGACTCTGCAAACAGATCTGACATACATCCTTAGCCCGTGCTTTTTCTATCTTCCTTTCAGGCTACACCGAGCGGCAAGCACTCCTATCATGACTGGAGCCCTCCAGCCGAAAATAATGTCCAAAATCCTCAAAACACCAAATATGATTCAGCTTCCATAATTTGAACAGGGTTTGGGAGTATGTTACAGTAATACCCATGTAAGGAAAGTTACATGAGCCTTATTGCGAGTTCTTCAGACCACAACCCTTGCGAAAGCCCTTACAGAATCACTACATAAAGCGCCCTATCTTCCGAAAAAGCCCCTAAACCGGTATGCTGAACCCTAGGCTATCTATCTATCCATCGGCAGGGCCTATAGGAGCAAGGGCCTTGGGGCTTGAATGTCGGACATGAGGCTCCGAGCTTTCGAATTTTCTGGTTTCAGGTTTAGGGGTAGAGGACTCAGGGTTTAGGGGTTGAGGGTTTAGGGCTTAGTGTTGAGGGGTATTTAGGGTTTAGGGGTTAGGGGGTTTAGGTCTGAGGGTTAGGGGACCCTTTCAAAGCCTGCCTGCGTCTGATGGTTTGCGCGACATCAGCGTCGGCAGGGTTCCTGCTCTGCTTTCCAGGAAAGCCAAGCCGCGCCCACGGAAGTTTTGGTTTAAAGCCCTTGGCAGAACGATGTGCACATTAAAACGCTGGTACTTTAAGAAACTGCAACACACATGCATAAGAAACGTGGCCATCCGCCCTCTTGCCCAAGAACTCCGAAATCCCAACAACCTGAATCTGAATCCTTAAGCCCAAGCATGTAGGGTTTAGGGTTTAGGGTTTAGGGTTTAGGGTTTAGGGTTTAGGGTTTAGGGTTTAGGGTTTAGGGTTTAGGGTTTAGGGTTTAGGGTTTAGGGTTTAGGGTTTAGGGTTTAGGGTTTAGGGGGCAGCCCTTGTTAGACCCGAAAGCCCAGCCCCCGGCGTCGCACGACCAAAAACCGTTGCTTTCGCTGCCCAATGCAAAACTCAGCTTCTCAACTCGGAACATCCCTAAACCCTCAACCCTACACCCTAAGTCCTGTAGTGAAATCATCCCGAAGCCAGAATCTCCTGAACCCCTGAAAGATTCCGATGCCCTCAGACCCTCAGCCCTCCAAGAACCTACGGGCTCTTCGCAGGGACTTTCGGGACATAGGTGCCCTAGATCACCTTCATCCAACCCTTTCAAGCTATTCCAAGTGGGTTTCATGTCGGAATCCAGCACGTAAACCTTAACATCCTAAGCCCTAAACTGTTAAAATCCTCAATTCCGAACCAGAAGCCGCAAACCCTAAGCAAACCAAGGAGATTTCAAGAGAAACGAACTCCCATATCTATCCCCAAGCCCTAAACCGCCTAAACCCTTCCCCAAGGGATCCCTAAAGCAGGAACCTCAATGCCAAATGCAACCTTCATCTGTCTAAACCTGCTAAACCAGAAAACCCTTGTAGCCTAAACCCACAACCCTAGACCCTAAACCTACTAAACCCCTAAACCCCAAACCCTAAACCCCTAAACCCCTAAACCCCTAAACCCCTAAACCCCTAAACCCCTAAACCCTGAACCCCAAAACCCTGAATCCTCAACCCCTAACCCTAAACCCTAAACCCTAAACCCCTAAACCCCCAAAACCCTGCATCCACCCTGCAACCGGGGCCCCGGACTTGAGGAGTCCAGGCCGGGCACGGTCGGCGCTGTGGCCGCGGTGGGTATGCCGTAGAGGCGCACCGGTTTGGCCTTCTGAAGTTTAGGGTTTAGGGTTTAGGGTTTAGGGCTAGGGATTAGGGTTTAATGAAAATCTAGGTTTGTGAGGCTTAGGGTTCCCTTAGAAGGGTTTCGGGCCTGGGGAGAATGAGGAAAACTGAAGGTCCTGTGCTGGGTCAGGTGGGAAGCGGCGGATGCCGCCGGTTTAGGCCCGGGTGCAGGGGATCGGGCACCCATCCATCCGACAGATTCATGTAATGTAGGGGCCGTAATGATCACAGAATTGGGTTTCGGGGGGGTTATTCTAGTATAGTTATGAAGAGACATAAAGAGACCATAAGGGAACAGCACAGTATTGGTACTCCCGACTTTTATAGTCAGGGTTCAGCTACTCGGCATCATTGTCAAACGCTTCAGCTCGATCGACCAAAACGCGCTCGCCATCAGTTCCCTCCACGTCACTTCCTTATAGCAACACAAAACTATCAGGGCTTATTAAGGGTTTAGGTAACAGCCAAACAGCTTGTCTTCTGTGCCGGGAGGGGTCCCCCAAACCATAAACCCCAAAGCCTAAACCCTAAACCCTAAACCCTAAACCCTAAGCCCTCCTCCACCCAGCACGCCTTGGTGCCCTGAATCCGAGGACCGGAGCAGGCGGCAATCTGCGCAAAGAGCTCGGACGGTGGCACCTCCGTGGGTTTCGTTTAGGGTTTAGGGCTAGGGTTTAGGGTTTAGGATTCAGGATTTAGGATTTAGGGTTCAGCATGGGGTTGGGGGTTTTAACGTGTGAGGGTGTCAGAGTTCAGCGATTGCGGACGCTTTATTTGAGGCTTGGTGTTTGTAGGCAGAGGCAGTGATATAAGGCTTGAGAAAGGCTCAGAAGGGTTTATGGCGAGTCATCAACGGGCCCTCCCTAAACCCGTAGGCTTGGCGGGCCTGAACCTTATAAGCCCAGAACCCTGAGTTCTTAACACCGCGTGCTCAACAGGACTCCGACCCAGCGCCCTGCACTGAAGCCGCTAATTCTTACCTGAAAAGCCTAATTACCCAAATAAGAGGCTACTATACCCCCAAAATAGGAAACTGTAGCCCATAATTACGGTCTACTGCTTTTCAAGGTAGGGTTTAGGGTTTTATATGGGTTTAGGATTTGGGGGGTTTGCAGGGTTCAGAGTTTGGGCGGACCGTGAAGGATCCTACCCCGTACCCTAACTTCCCGCTACCCAGAACAAGTCCCCAATTCAGTCTTATTTGAGCTTCATATGAGTGAGTGACCCGAAAGACAAAACCCTAAATCCTGAACTCCTGGACCCCACAGTTGCACCTTCTTCCACTGGCCATGGACACTCGGCTATTTCGAACCCCCTAAATTAAAACTACGGGGGGGGGGGGGGGGGGGTGGGTCTTAGAATTCATGGTTCACTTGGATCTAAGTGCTCTAAATAGGTTTATATGTATATATATATATATATATATATATATAGATTTATTTATTTACTTATTTATTTATATGTATATATATATATATATATTTATTTATTTATATTTATATTTATTTATATAACTCCCGTAATAATTCTCCGTACTCACAGCAAGACAACGCACAAAGTCTCCATGATCTCCAGGGAGGGCGCCGACTTCTTCTCGGCCACCGCTGTCAGAGCCTGCCAGAGCTTTCGGGGAAGTCAGGGCCTCTTCGGAGCTTTTGCTTGTCTTTTTTTAGCAATTTCGGGTCTCCAAAAAGTAGGATCTGCAGGGTGTAGGGTTTAATGATAGACTTTGAGGGTTTTGTTGGGGGCAAGAGGACCTCCTGAAGGTTGTCAGTACTTGGGGGCTCTTTTAAGTCATCGTTTAGGGTGTCCATGGCCGTGCAGAACACGGATTTCGCCGCCTTTCTGAGTTTTCAAAAGGGTTTAGGGCTGAAAGGGCTTATGGGGCCTAATCGGATTCACAGTGTTTATGGGGTCATAGGGTTGTTTAGGGTCTAGGGTGTTGGGGCAGGCCTTCAACCCTGGACCCCATTTCAGCAGATTTGCATCTAGGGTTTATAGGATGAGGTTGCAGACCTCACGAGGTGCGGAGGTTCTAGGAGGCCCCGGAGGTCGTCAGAAGTTGGGGCCTCAAGACCCCGATTTCTAGAACGAATTGCCCTGATGTTTTATCACACCAGTGATAACCTCACGGGCCCCTCCAAACCTTAAACTCCAGACTTCATGAGAGACCCTCACCCCCATAGCGTTCCTCTCGCAGCTGTGGTAGGGACAGACGGCGCTGGCCCTTGCGGAGAGCCTGCAAGGGTTAAGGCCGGGTCGAGAGAACCGGTGCTAAGGTGGCCGGAGGGCGAGGGCGTTTAGCGAGGACGTAGCATGACAGCTTGTTGCTTGTTGAAGGGTTTGGGTTTGTTCGCAAGATCTGGGGGGAGGGATGTCGGCACCGGGGTGTGTAGGGGCCGGAAGCGGGGGAGTAAGCCAGGGCTCAAAGAACCAAGACTCAAAAGGCTTACTGAAGCATTTCGCTTAGGAAAGTGGCTGGGCTGGGCTTTCCACCTTTTTTGCTGAATTTGGTTCATCGGCGATCCGAGCCAAAAACAAAGGGGCTAAGGCAACCCTAAACCCTAAACGCCAAACCCTAAACCCTATCCCTAAACCCTAAACCCTATACTCTAAACCCCAAACCCTAAACCCTAAACCCTAAACCCAAGTCCCCAAACCCTGAAAGCATGGGATGGTGTGGTCAGGGGCGCTACTGGCTACTTGCACCTTGGCAAAAGTGAGGTCCGCATCCACAGCAGTGAAGGTGTCGTCCAGAATCTCCGTGTCCCGGCAAAGCTTCAGGAAGCACCTTAAGGGCTTTGAGCTTGAAGGTTTTAGGGCTAAACCCTAAACCCTAAACCTAAAGGTTTAGGGTTTTGGGGGACTTAGCGTGCTAGAGTTTTAGGGATTTCGGGGTGAGGCTGTAGGGCTTGGGGCTTTAGGGCTTAGGGCCTCAGGTAGGGGCTCTGGGGCTTCAGGCTTGAGAGCTTTAATAATTCTCGGGTCTGAGGGCTTAGGGTTTAGGGTTTAGGGCTGAGGGTGGTAGAGTTCCGGGTTCAGGGCTTGTAACAAACCAATGCCAAAAATCCGAAGAACGCCCCTCCGGTCCTGCAAGCCCTTCCCCGAATCCCTTGGAGGTCAGCCGGAGCCCTACAGGCCTCATCGGCCCAATTCCAGAGGCTCTGCGCCTGAACCCTAAACCCTAAACCCTAAACCCTAAACCCTAAACCCTAAACCCTAAACCCTAAACCCTAAACCCTAAACCCTAAACCCTAAAGCCTCTCATAGGAACCCTTGATAACCTACACAAAGACGTAGGTTTGGGTTCTCACAACGGACAACTTTCGAAGGCAGCAGATGCCTTTGCCGGGGTCCGGGCTTACCATCCCACTCCAGGCCTTTGCGATCGTCTGGGTTTGGGTTTAGGGTTTAGGGTTTAGGGTTTAGGGTTTAGGGTTTAGGGTTTAGGGTTTAGGGTTTAGGGTTTAGGGTTTAGGGTTTAGGGTTTAGGGTTTAGGGTTTAGGGTTTAGGGTTTAGGGTTTAGGTTAGGGTTTAGGGTTTAGGGTTTAGGGTTTAGGGTTTAGGGTTTAGGGTTTAGGGTTTAGGGTTTAGGGTTTAGGGTTTAGGGTTTAGGGTTTAGGGTTTAGGGTTTAGGGTTTAGGGTTTAGGGTTTAGGGTTTAGGGTTAGGTTTAGGGTTTAGGGTTTAGGGTTTAGGGTTTAGGGTTTAGGGTTTAGGGTTTAGGGTTTAGGGTTTAGGGTTTAGGGTTTAGGGTTTAGGGTTTAGGCTTATGCATTTTGGAAGAAAGTTGGGGGGGAGGGGGTGTGAAGCCTCTCAACCCCTAACCCCTAACCCCCTGAGTTGCTTCTTTTTCGGGGCCTCGATGGGGTTCGCAGGGTTGCTGTTGAATGCCTTGCTGTTCCCACTAAGTCGCCATAATAAGCCGGCGATCGTACTTACTGGAAATCCATGTTGCTTTAAGTGCTTTCTGTTAAGGCGACATTAAACTCCAAATCAAGAATACGGTTGAGCTTCAACAGAAGCCCAGAGGGGAGGGGGGGGAGGGGGGGCTGGACGGGCTGGGAAATGAACCCGCGCTCGTGCTCCCTAACCCCGAGCCATCGTATAAGCCCCCTTCTGGGGTTTGGGCTGCAGACTTGAAGCCCTTACGCCACCCGCCTTCAACCGCCTAAGTCTCTTCAAGGCCCCCACTCCCAGGCACACAGAAGCTGTAGAACACGCCCTCCGGATTGTCCTTTGCAGGGATCGTCACCAAGGTTTCCCCCTTGGCTCTTTATTGTCAAGTCCGGGGTAAAACTTTAGGCTTCAAAGCATCAAGGCCATCCCTGAAGATAACTTTTGCTACCAGATCCCCCAAGCCCAAGACCGTAAATCGGATTTCAACCTAGAAGAGAGGGCATGCCGTCCGACGACACCGCCAATCGAAAGACGTCTAAGCTGGTGCCGCCCTTTCGGGGTTTGCGGGTCAGGGGTTCCTAAACCCTAAACACTAAACACTAAATTGCTTTCTAGGGTTTAGGGTTTAGGGTTTAGGGCTTATGGTTTGGGGTTTAGGGTTTAGGGTTTAGGGTTTAGGGCTGTCAGTCAAGTTGTTCCACAAGAACATGGCATCCCTAGCTGTCACCAGGGCGGTGACCCTCAAAGCAGCCATCCTCACCTCCATTTCCTGGACCTATTCTCCCCTAACAACCTTAAGAAAAATAATAGTTTAATAATATCCTCTTGGGTTTTATACAAACAAATACAAAAAATCCCAAGGGGGATATAGGGACATCGGGTGAAGAAGGGCACCGTCGGCTTCATGACTTTTTCGAGCTCCATAAATGTGGCAACGAGAAATCACCCAGGCGTGCAAGGTTATTCTTGATGACCCTGCCTGTGTTGCTGGTGTGTCTAAAATCACCTGTTGTATGAAGCTGACGACGATGACGGCGAATATCGGCGTGCTTCCCACCTGATCGCTTCTAGCTCGACAACTCCTGACAGCGCATGTCGTGTGCACAATAGGGAATTAAGTTCTCGGCTTCCAGGGTGATGAAGGTGATGCTGAAGGCACAGATTCTGCGTGTGATGGGTGGCGGTCAGATGCATGACATTTTGCCAGGCTCAAACTTAAGGACTTCGCCGCCACTATCCGCAGATATCATCAGCACCACGCAGCCTCGTTCTGCAAAATACTCTGCAGCTGCCCTCCTCGATCCTCCCAAACCTGGAGCAACCCGTTGCCAGCAGGCAAACTACGACATCTTTCCTTTCTAGCCAGCTTAACATAAGACTCCAAACTCTAAAGCTTACTTGCAACAATGACTCAGTAGCCACTCCCCTGTGGAGGGCATGCAGCGAATACATTGTTTGCATGGACGAGACCAGTTTCCTTGTCGATCAAGGTCATCCCATCCTGGTTCATGTGACCAAGTACGTCTCCAGAATGAGACTGGATGAAGACTTCATCTTCTGGCCGAAATGCACTATGTGCCCGCACATAACCGATGCCAGCTTGGAGCATGAGGGACGCATCTCCAAGAATTAAGCTATGTCCTCTGCGAACTCCTTCTATCCCATGCTTGGCATACTGCTTTGACAGGGACTCTGCAGCCTCTAGAACTCCACATGGCGCGGTCGCGCGGCTGTCTTTCATAGGTGCCACTTTCAAGGGCTCCTATGCTTGTGGCTTAGAAGCTTGAGCTTGATCTCCCGAAGGTCTTGGTGAAACTTCACTGTTATGTGACAGGAGCTGGCCATGTTCTCTGCAATCTTCGCACTTCCGACTTTGAACCTCTGAAGTTCAGGAGTTCCGGGGCTTTCGGGCTTTTGATCGGGGTTTCGGGCCAAGGTTCAGGGTCAGCATATATCAGGGACTGCCGCGCGGGACGACCCCACAGAAAGGCCAATTAAGTTCCACAAATGGACCTAGTTCCTGGGGCTCGGGGGTCGCTCGGCTTGCAGGACCCGAAATCCTAAGTCGTAACTTTGGTGAGGGCTTAGGGTTTAGGGTTTAGGGTTTAGGGTTTAGGGTTTAGGGTTTAGGGTTTAGGGTTTAGGGTTTAGGGTTTAGGGTTTAGGGTTTAGGGTTTAGTAGGGTCCGCATGCAGCAGGGAGGAACTGGGCGTACGGCATCGGAGCCCGGCAGAATGACAGCCTGGCATGGGTTTAGGGTTTAGGCTTTAGGGTTTAGGGTTTAGGGTTTAGGGTTTAGGCTTTTAGGGTTTAGGGTTTAGGGTTTAGGGTTTAGGGTTTAGGGTTTAGGGTTTAGGGTTTAGGGTTTAGGGTTTAGGGTTTAGGGTTTAGGGTCTGGGGTTTAGGGTTTAGGGTTTAGGGTTTAAGGTGGTTTAGGGTTTAGGGTTTAAGGTGGTTTAGGGTTTAGGGTTTAAGGTGGTTTAGGGTCTAGGGTTTAAGGTGGTTTAGGGTCTAGGGTTTAAGGTGGTTTAGGGTTTAGGGTTTAGGGTTTAGGACTTAGGACTTTGGGTTTGGTGGTTAGTATAGGGGGTGGGCCAAGCGCCAACACTGTCAGCAGGAAACCCTAAGCCCTAGAAGCCCTAAACCCTCAATCTCTGAACTCCCAAAGGTTGAATCCAAAACCCTAAAATAATCCCCAACCCCTAACCCTTATAAACCTTATAAACCTTCACAACCTTATAAACCTTATAAGCCTTATAAACCTGATAAACCCTACAAACCCTATACCCCCAAATCACTAAACCCTAAACCCAAAACCCTAAACCCTAAACCCTAAACCCTAAGCCCGAAACTCTAAACCCTAAACCCTAAACCCTAAACCCTGCGATGCTCATTTGTTCTTCTGCACGTCACACGCAGCTTCGCAGCTGAGCTTCAAAGGCTTCGAGGCCAATCTCCTTGGAGCTTCTTAAGGTTTAGGGGCTTCACTGGGTTAGGGTTTAGGGTTCAGGGTTCGGGGTTCAGAGTTCAGGGTTCAGGGTTCAGGGTTCAGGGTTCAGGGTTCAGGGTTCAGGGTTTCGGGTTTGGGGTTTACGGTTTAGGGTTTTGGGCTGTTTTTGCAATATTTTGGGGCGTTTGGGGTTAGGTCCTTGAGGGGATTTGGGGCTTGGCGGGGCTTCTGGGGCTTGGGAGGGGGGAGTCTGAAGCGAATGGAGTAGCAACAAGAGCTTAGGATTTGAAAAGGGTTTTGGGGATGCTTTTGCTTGAGGTCTCAAGGGCTTGAGATTTGAAGGTTCGTATGGAGTGTTGAAGGCCTTGATTTGGGGGTGAACGTTCAGGGTTCAGAGTTTAAAATCGGGGGGGGGGGGAGGGGACGGGGTTTAAGGTTTGGGGGTGTGTTACTAGGATAATGAAAAGGGTTTAGGTCTTAAGTTCGGGAGTAGTAGGGAGGGTATTGATCTGGTCGGCGCCCCTCGATCTTGAATAATTGCAAAGTGCCTTAGTGTCGGTGCGGGGTTTCGGGTAGTGCATAGGGTCTAGTCTTCAGGGTTCAGGGCTAAGTGGCCAGAGTTGGGGCATTCAGGCCTAGGTACGAATGTCCCTTAAACACTCTCAAACTCAATGAAGCCCCAACCCCCCTGAGTTTCTCTAAAGCCTCCGAAAAGCCAGCCTAAACCCATGACTCTCTAAACTCCCGAAACACCGCGTCCCTGCCGAAAAATGCTAACAACAACCACCCTTGACTCGAAATGTTCCCCTGGACTCCACCCCTCCCCCCAAACCCTCTTGCTGCTCAGTCTCCTGTAGGCACCGATCCTGGGCGTCTCCCATCCCCTTCTCATGTTAACCCCCGCATAAGACCCCAATGTGACACAATTCCTTTTCTGACATGTTCTAGAACATGCTTTTGTGGGGAGAGGTTAGATATTCACCAAACTCTAAAGCCTAAACACGTAAACCCGAGTTCCTAAACCGCCTTGTGGATGGTTTTGCACACCTCCTTCGCGCAGTAAACCTGAAGGGCACGGCACGGCCCCCCTTCGCTTCTCGATTCAGTGCTCAGAGGCCGATGGGCATGTGCGGGGTGTCGGCTTTAGGGTTTATGGTTTAGGCTTTATAAGACTTGGGGTTTAGGGTTTAGGGTTTATAGGGTATAGGGTTTAGGGTTTAGGGTTTAGGGCTTAGGGTTTAGGGTTTAGGGTTTAGGGTTTAGGGTTTAGGGTTTAGGGTTTGAAGATGTAGGGGGTTCAGGGCTTTTTGGGGGGTTAGCTGCTTCCGAGCGGCGTTGTGGCGGTAGACCTCCTCGCGGCTCGCACCATCCACAGCGGCCAAGTCCTACATGTGGGTGGTTGTCAAAATTATGGTTTTCTTTTGGGGGTCCCTATTATAATACGGCACCTAATATTTAGGGTACCCCAAAAGACGAACCCTAATTTTGACAACTACCCATGTAGACCCTAAACCCGAAAGCCCAAACCGAAACCCCTAAACCCAGAAACCGACATGCGCGTGGAGGAACGGCACATCACTGGCTTGGGTTTCATGGTTCCGTGCTTTTGGGCTTTGCGATTCAGGACTGGAGAGCGCCAGGAAGTATTCATGCATTGGGCTCGCGGTCTTGCGAGCTGTTTATGGGTTTAAGGTTTTTGTTGGTGGATCTGACCCAACTCTTGCGGTTAGGGCTTTTGATTCCAAGAGATGAGAGTGCCCCATCCTACAGAGTTCAGGGGCCTGGGACCATGCCATGCAGCACCTGGGGCCTCAAGAGCATTTCGTGAAATTGAAATTTTGATACAGCAACACCGAATCACCTGCCCAAACGCCGTCGAACCCTAAACTGTCTAGCCCTGACTCAACGCCCAAGCCGAAGAACTAAAACCACAAGATATAGTCTATGGAGCCTACAAGGAGGGGCCCCCTTACCTATACTAACTGTAGCTAAGTGACTTATAACCTAATTAGGATCCTTATAACCCAATTTAGGGAATCTTATAACTCTACTTATAACTTACTGGCCCAAAAACCAAGGAAATAAAAGTTGAAACTTTCAGAATAAACTACCTTATAAGAAGCCCAAAAGTTGAAAAGTTGGGTTTTGAGCCAGTAAGATAACTAGGGGGGCCCTCCTTGTGTGGGCACCTTGCCCCATCCGCTCCCCGCTCGCCCTCGCCCGCGCGCCTGCATCCGCAGCAGATGCAAAACAGGGCGGGGCGCCTGCGCCACTCACATGCAAGACTTGTCGAAGCTGAGGGCACAGGGTTCCAAGAACTTGGGTGCAGCCTTTGAGGCCCTAAAAAAACGTCACCCCCCCATCGTTTGGCAGCACCTCCCTAAACCCTAAACCCTAAACCCTAAACCCTAAACCCTAAACCCTAAACCCTAAGCCCTAAACCCTAAACCCTAAACCCTAAACCCCTAAACCCTAAACCCTAAACCCTAAACCCTAAACCCTAAACCCCTAAACCCTAAACCCTAAACCCTAAACCCTAGGGTGATGGAAAACGATGGGGGGTGGAGGTAAAAAAACAATGTCGGGTTTCCTGGGGCTTCCGGCTTGAACCGTACGCTTAGGCCTGCGCAAGCCAGACTGTTGCCTGGGGAAATTTCAAAACTGGCCAAATCGGCTTGGTTCAAAAGTTCAACTAATCCCTTCCCCCTTACACAACCCCCCCCCCCCCCGTAGTATAAACACCGTTCAAAACCTTAAAGGGTTTTTAGTATTCATTAGAAGGGGGTTCTTATTCAAATTGCCAAACGGCCGGTCCTTGTAGCTTGCGGGCTCAGTCACAGAGCAGGTTTCAACCTTTGCGGCTATTAGGTTTCAGGCGTCCGGCGTCCGACTGCCGGACGGGGTTTTGGGGCAGCTTTGTTTGTTAATTATTGGGGTAGTATTGTTAGCGGGAGGGAATGAAATCCTAAACCATTACCCGAGCCTAGAAACCTTAAACACTAAAGCCCTAAACCCTACAATTGCCAACAGAAACAGGCCTTGGCCAGCGCCGAGCGCCTTGCTGCTGTGTCGTCGCCGGGCGACGCCTCCAGCGACCACCTCGCAACGATTCCCTCGCCCTAAACCCAAAACCCTCAACCCCCAAACCATTTCCCCTAAACCCTAAACCCCAATTAACCCCTAACCCGAACCCTGTAACCCCTGCACAATGAAGATCAACTATGTGGTGGTGAAGAGAAGTTGAGTTAAGCGTACGGACTTGACTCCTGAACCCTTCTAATGCCTGCTAAGCCAACCTGATGGTTTGAGTGTGGTTCGGGTCGACATCCCACGCCTCAGAGAACGGAAGAACGGGCTGACAACCTCAACCCGGCCGGAGGCTGTTTGGTTTGGCCGCAGGGGCAAAGAGTGAACCCCAGCCTTAAGCTTTGGAACCAAATGTCACTTCCCCATAAACCCTTTGAATGCCCCATGAAATCGACTGCTAAAGGGGCTCCTCAGAACGCTTGCGGGCTGAGTTGCACAACATCGGAGGAACGGATCGAGGCTTCCTGCGGCCGGGGACATCGCAATGAAAGAACAAAGTTGCGCCAAAACCGCGGGGAGCCTTGTACATCGAATCTTGCCCAATTCGAAGCCACGCTTCTTGTGAAATCGGAAACTCTAAACCACCGCTACCTAAGGCATCCCCTCATGAAGGCATCCTGAGCCCTGATGGCATCCCTACCGACCGAAGTGTGGGTTCCCCCAGGCTTAGGGAACTCGAGGTTTAGAGTTCAAGGGTCCCTGAG